TTAATTCAGCATTATGCACCATTACCTCCAGATTACTCAAGCACAACCAGCACCAATAAACTATAATTAAATCCACTCTTTGTCACAGGCACATCAGACTGACTAAACCAGCAAATTTGCATATAGATTACCTTGCTATTTGCCTGCTTTGAAGAATTTTTCAACATGGTGTGACAAAACCAGCTCCTAGCTAGCCTGCACACGCACACACACACACACTCCGACACTCTTAATGTACAAAATAAAACATTATGTTCACAATTGCTGCTCAGTGCAATGGATACTGTTGCTAGCATGACAGATCTCTTCCTTCATGGTGGAATCTCTTGGGTTTGAGGGTTTTCAGCTTCAGAATATGAAATAAATCACAAAAGGTCTCATTCATTTCCACAGCATTTTCCATGATTGTGAAAGAGAGGATCTACAGGGAACCTATGCATGAAAATTTGCATTCGTATATGCAAAGATGATTGTGAGGAACCAAACCACTCCAACTTGCAGTGTGTGAAATTACTTTTTCTGTGAAAAAGAGATTTTTTATTCCCTTGCTGTTTCTCTCCCAGGAGTGGCCACATTCTCTACAGGGTGGCAGGGAGAGCTGTGCTGCTACTCTCTCCCACCTCATGTCCCTGGAACAGAGGGACAGATCTGACCTTGACAGATGCAGGTTTGAGTGAGGGTCATCTTTAACACCTGGCTGCCCTTTCCTCTTTTCTGCATATGGAGGTCTCTTTTAAGAAAAGACTCACTTTATCTGATGTCAAAGTGAAGGGGGGGAGTTTCTTTAAATTTTTGTAAGCATTTAAGATAAGTAGAAAATAGGAGGAATCTGTTTACAGGAGCAGATGCCCCAAAAGTATTTACTTTATTCAGAGGTGCTCTTTAATATGTTGAGGGTTCTTTGTGTTGCTTTTTGGTTTATAAATGTGGGACATCCTTTGAGGGAGGAAGGCTTGTTTAGCAGTGGTATAGAACAATTGAATTTAAGAAGGCTATAGCTCAGCACAGACCAAGTAGCTACTGGGAAATAAACCAGTCCAAGCTTTATAGCTGCCACAAAGTCTAAGGATTCCTGAAAGACAACTCCATCAGAGCCTCCATACCAGGCTGCACTCTCGTCCTTAGAACCCAGCCACATCAGTTCTGGTTTGCTAAAGGTGACCCTGCTCTCTGACACCAACCAGCCAGCTGTTCTCTTTTCAGTTGGTCCCAGCTGGTCTCTCTGTGGCCTGAAGAGGAGTTGATATGAGGCAGCAACTGCTTTGTTCAGTTACTGCAGTTGTCTCCCCAATCATCCTGAAAGAAAACTCCTGAATAAGCTCAGCAAAGTGCCCACTCTTTTGCTGTTAAGACACCGTGATGTGCTTTTGAATTTTTTTGGGCACACCAACCTTTTCCCCATTACCTCTTCAGTGTCTTGATGGTTAACAAATAAGCAAAACGCACCCCATTTTTGTTCTGAACTACAGTACATACAATGGGGTGCTGATATAATGAAGAAGGAAGAATAGGCAAGGAGCACTCATAACACACCATGCTTCTCTAGCTGCAAGATGAACATCCTACAGGATGGATCTCCAGATGAGAATATTTATATTTGAGCTAGCTTAAAATAGCTAGTCTAGGTGCAGCTCCAACATCACAAGGCTGCAAAACCTACCTACCCCAGCTTCTGGCAACTGTCAAAGCAATCTGCCCACAAGGTGCATGATCTTGTTGCTACACTAACACCAGTACCCAAGCCAACATCAGCTAAGTAACACAGGTATGAGAACTGAAGTTGAAATTAAATGGCTAGATTAAAAAAGAAACAGGACAGAGGGAGCTGCTGGCTCCCAGTGGTTGGATAGATGCATGTTAGCTGGGACAGACCCTAGGACCAAAGGCTCCTTGTTTCTATCAGCCTCTCACTTGACTGCAGCCCAAGAATAAACTGGAGAAAAAGCCTGCATCCCATTTACAGAGATCAAGGTGAAGCAACAAAGATATGTCAGGAAAAGCCCATATAGCGCAGGGCAGTGTAAGACAACCAGAGAAATCTCATTGTTCTAGCTAAAGCCAAGACATCAGGGTTGTGATTGACATTAGTTATAGGGTACTTCTTTCCTGTAAATTTGTGGTGATGCCTGGCACACAGACACAGAAATGGTAGGAGTGCTTTGCTTGTTCTTATAATCTCTTGAGGGCTCTTCCCCCCAAAAGACACACCATAAAGATGGCCAAGGTTGGAGGGAGGAAAATATTTGACCTTCTCTCCCTGTTAATACAAGACAGGACTTTTGAAGGCAAGTACAAATGTTACTGGTTTTAGCCTAGTTATTTGTTTAGAAGGCTCACCATTCAAATGGGGACTGAAGGAAAAGAAGGGATGTGTCCTTCAAGCATGAGGCCATATGCAACTCCAAATTAGCCCACCTCATGGGCCATTTGCTGCCATTTGAATGAACAAAGGGCATTCGCCCTGCTCTTGAAGTAAGGATGCCAATTATCTTAACCAGTCAGAAATAAATATGGTATTTTTTTCAACTCAAAGCTGGGAAATCATGTCTGGTTCTGAATTCAACAGGATTTTCCACCTAGCACACAGCAAGATACTGCTGAAGTCGCTATGTCCTTGCATTTCTCCTGTGCTATGAAGTACAAGTTGGTCTCTTGCCTCTGAGCTGGGCAGTTTCTTCTGTTAAGTTTGAAACACAGCAGAGCAAGTAACTTGGCTGATGACTGCACCTGTCTGCAAAAGTACTATCATTTCATCTCGAGGACTTTATTCTCAAAATATGGCAGGATGAGAAATATCTCAAGGATGAAGGTTTGTCTTCCTTTGACATCTCAGGACAAGTTTCTCCCAACAAGAGAGATATTTTCTTCTGGGAGAATTCCATACAAAAACAGACAGGAACAAAATGTAACTAAGTGTAATAAATGGCTCTGTGTTCCTATTCACACACTTTTGTGTCATCAAGGATCCAATCAGAGAGACTAACATTTATCTTTGCTCTTTCCCGTAGCCCTCAAGATGTATTACATCCTCAGCTCCAACCTTCAAAAAGAAGGATATGACAAAACTAATCTCATCTGTATGCCTTCAGAAAGGTATATACGGAATTCAAATTAATGTACAGAAATTATAATAAATTATTGAAACTCTCCATTGCATCAACCTCAGAAATCCACCCTACGCGGGAGGCTTCCCCTTTTGAAGCAACAGAAGATTTGAAGTTACCAATACTTGTCCCATACTCCCTGACCAACCCCAGTCACTGCAAGAGACAGCTCTTAAAAGAAGACAAATCTGAAACTGAGTCAGTCAGGAATCTACCAAATGCTGATTCTTGAGAATTAAAATGAACAATCACTGTAATATATTCATCACTAAGTAGTGTTGGTCAGAAATAATGATGTTACCAATATGATGTCTATTCTAGCATACTGAAAACACACCTTAGAAGCACCAAAGCAAACAGTTTTGCCAAGTAGGTTTCATACATTTATAAGCCTAATACACATAGAGCTTTCCCCAGTGAGCTTTTGATCTTGTTCTTCATATTTCACAATGAGGGTACACTGCTAACAATGCATATCCAATAAAGCAATTTCAGTCGAGTTGTGACTTTTTGGTGTAAGTTCTTATTTAAGCATACCTCTTTTCACAAAAAATGGCAATAAGTCCTGAAAGTTCTTCTCATCATTGTGATCAGTTAAATACATTTCTACATACACTTAAAAAAAATCATGCTTTTATTTTCAGCTGAACAGAACATGACTGTTATTAAATTAGTCAGATACTTCTTTGACCAGTCATCTGTTTAGAAAATCAATTTCCGCTTATTTTTGAATCAGCTCCCCTTTTTTTTTTTTATTAGAAGTTGTATTTTTTAGAAATAATGCTTACATATTAACTTCAAAAGGCTCACCCCTGTTTTACAAATAAAGATAAAGTGCTTTTTGCAGAGCACTTTGTAGAGAACTATAGTATTAAAACTGCTCATCTGTGTTAATTGGATACATCTGCTTCAGAAAGTAAGTCTGGGTCTATAAACCACTTCTGCTTGGCCAAATGTAAATTAGGCTAGCACACATTTTCAAACTTAATAAAAAAGTGCTGTAAGTGTGCAGCTACAGCCAGAAATTGGTATTATAAGTGACCTCTGATGTGAATGTTTCCCATACTTTTTTCTGAGATGGAAAGATACTATTATAGTTCTCTAATATCTTGTCTGCACTGCAGGCCTTTAAATACAGAAGCAGCAACAAGATAATCTTCTGTCTTGTACACAGTAATCCCACTGTATTCTAAAATCTGTATTAATTACAGATAGTGGACAAGGCCTAATTACTGCAACCTCAAAGCTTCATTTCTGCTATCTGAACTACGTGAAAAGCATGGGCTACTTTTCCTTTCCTGAGAGAAATGCAGTATTTCCAGCCTCTTTGCAGTGCTATTAGCTGGAGAGGCAGCAATGAGATACTTACTTCAACAGCCAGCACTGATTTTCCTGAGTGGATGAACAAACTCTTTTGCCCTCCTACTACAAATAGTTGTGCAATAAAATATGCCATCTGAGATGCCTATTTCTGCAAGATTTTGTATCTCACTTCTACAAACCATTCAACAGGTATGACTACACTGCAAATAAAACACAGACACAGTTTTTAGTACATGGCACATAGTGCTCATAATGTCAACATTAGGGACCATGCATCTGCTTTTTGTCCAGATATGTCCAGTCACCTGAACAGTCACTGGAAGCATATTCAGCCTTGTTTTGAAGACAACTTTACAGATGCATTGTAGACATACATCATAGGACTACCAGTGCTTAAAATTAAGTTTCTAAAGGTACGTTGCTGATCAACAATGAAGCGAAGAAAAAAATTAACATGATTTTGCAGGAGGTATTCCATCTCATCAGGGTCCCTGGAGCTTCAAACTCAAACATGTTTACATATAAAAGAAACTGTGTATGACACTTGCAGAACTTATTTTTCTTGTACATTACCTTTAAGACAAAGCAGTGATCTGTAGGTGCCTTATATTTTACTTTGTGTTGAGAACCATAATAAATGTTAACATTCTCAAACTGAATGAAGCATGCCAGATCCCGTGATGTCTGTAAATAAAAACCAAGCACATCACTGTTAGAACAAATTGAATTTTGATGTGAAACTCATTAACAGAACTTTTTTCAAATGCATGAATGACAATGCTTTTTATTTAAAAAAATAAACTGTCATGAAGTTGACTGAGGAAAGATTAATTTTAAGTGTGCACATTCTTTAACAATTGGAAAATGGTCAGTACATATTAGGGATAATATATAACACAGTGCAACATTTTGCTGTTGCACTGACCAAACAGAACACCATAGTAAGAAATAACTTTAGTAAAACAGATACAGGCCTTAAAACCACACCCTCAGAAGAGTGGAGAAAGAAGGTTTGGAGTTCTACATTGCTTTGAGAGCTTGTTTGGCACATGTAACAAACTCTCATCAGGAAATAAGCACACATTTAATCTGGTTTGCTTTTAATTTTCTCAGATTTCCTGGCATCATTCCTTTTCTGTTTATCATAATACTTGCTTGTTCACAATATGTTGCTAAAGTAACAAGGTTTCTGTTGCTGGCACACTTCTCAGTGCAGAATTCTGCATACAAAGCATAACTTTTGCAATCCTTTGAGTGGAAATGCAAAGATGGCCATGCCACATGGTCACTGTTAGCTAAATTGAGAAATCAGGAAATTGTGAAAAAAGAAAATAACAAACCACAAACCTTCACTACCCCTACGAATGGGGTTATATTTCCACATATGATGGTTCTTCTATGCTATTCTCATTCCTACTGACACTTTCATTACAGTAAGCCCTTGAGTTGGGTTTATTTACAAACTGAGTTTGCAAGTAAGATTTGTGGAGGGAGGAAACACTCTATACTGTATGTAGACAGGGCTTCTCTCTCTCCTGCCTCCCCTGAAGCTGATGTCAGGGATTTTGTCATTAACTGTGTGGACCTAGGATTTTCCAACACTAAATTCCCAAACATGCTCAAATCCATGCAGTATAATGAGTTGTTCCTTTCCTTTATGAATCAGGTAATAGCAATTAAGACCAATATGCATGCAGTTTTCTTCTAAGTAAGGAACAAATTTTTATGCAAGGAACAAAGGCACTTATATTGCAAGTATTTCTGAAATGTTAACATGACAAAGCAACACAATTAACAGAGAGAAATTTTAAAATTGTATCTGCAATTCTGATTGTGTTGGTTTGTGACCCTGTCCATTAACAGTGATGTTTTTGAATGGGATATAAATAAAGTAGTGATGAAGAAATAAAGAAATTAAGACAGCAGTGCTGACTGGTGACTAGTTTGTTAACAAAATCCCCAAACAACAAAAAAATACCAATGGCACATGTGTAAAATGAACCGAACAGGTCCCTGTACTTTCACGTGTGCAATGTATTTTACAGTCAACACGAAGTGCCAAAGGTATGTCAGACTGCTTTGCTTTTTTGTAACAAGTGAAAACATGACTGTATGATGAATTTCAAAACAGCTGCAGCAGCTGGAGAGACCAACCGTTTGTTTCTGTACCTCAGTGAAAGATCACTCTACCCACAACTGAATGACCACACCAAGGTGCATGTGCACTCTTTATACCACCCTGATGTAGGATGAACTCTCAAAATTTAAGGGCTTTGACTGGAAAGCTCTACTGAATTCTGTTGCAGCACTTTAAGATATTTAGCATCCTCACTGCAGCCTGCTCATTTACCCGTGATTATTGTCTCCAAAAAAGACACATGTACCTGAGCCGCAGCTGTTCCAATACAGAGTCCAGTAACAAACTTATATCACCATTAAACACGTATTTGAGCTAAGAGACTTGACTTTCTCTGGAATGGCTTAGGCACAGATAAATGCATCGCTTTGCTGAAGGCTGTTACAGAAGCAGAAGCAAACAGGTGATTGTGATACCATTTTAAAGAGCTGTGACTATCTCCTAAAGAACTAGATTCAACATCCTCAATCCCTGTGAGTGGCTGAACTGGTAATATAGTGTTTGAAGCACTCACGCAGTTCCTTAAAATTGCTCAGTTATAGGCAGGGCGGTACACAGGCTCTAATGACTAACAAGCAATAAAGTGTTAAAATAAAAGAGGTGTTATAAGGTGACTGCATGGATCCATCTTGAGACTGTATTTGCAGTCTATCACCTGAAAAAGAAAGCACTTTCCTCATCTGCACTATGATGGAAAGTCACTGAAATGGGTATCACTGGATGACGAAAAAGCTGGGTAACTGTCAGTAGATGCTTGCCAAGCTTTGGCACTGTATACTAGCCATCGCTGGAGGCAGGCTAGAAGGAAGTGTCCAAGATGGACTTTTCATTTGACTATTCTTACACTCTTTCCACCTTAAATGCCTACTAAATAGCTTTCTAGTTTCTAATTGATAGGACATTGGTGTGTATGCAACGTGATTTGAGGACTGAAAGCCTTTATCAGGATCAGGTAAAGACAAAATAAATTGCTGTGAAAGCAAAGTAAGCTAGGTCTGTGTTTCACTGAGATTTGGATATAAACACAGGTCACTGGAGCGGAAGCAGCACTGCATTGCTTTATAAGCTATCAACTTAATTTTTTTTCTTTGCAATTTAGTCAGGGAATAGCAGAACAGTTAAGTTTCACAGCACAAATCGTAACGTTTAAGCTCTAAATGTTAAAGCAGCAGCAGCACCAGAATTTTCAAATATGAAGCATTAGCAGAGCCATAAGTGGTAACAGAAGTGGTTTTCAGAATATAAAAAAAAAAGAAAAATACCACCAGTCCCAGAAGCCACCGTTCCACCTCATCACTGTGGAAACAGCCACCCTTATATGCAACACATCCAGGACCCCTTTCCTTCTCCAGCACTGCAATTCAGACTCTTTAAATATTTTGCAATACTAAATGTCACTGCATCTGATTCAGTCAGGTGAATGCTTCTGTCTCATTCTTTCTACACAAAGGGCAGACTTAAGACGCCTTAAAAGGCACAACACATCCTCCAGTCAAAGATCTCTGTTGGAAAAAATGTATAGCATTTCTGCATGCTAGTTGCTGGTGCAGAAAGTATAAAAGTAAAATTCCACCTTTTTTGTGGTAAGAAATGAGTTTACTTAAGAATTTTTAAATATTCTTCCACAGGTAACCCACATAACAGTGAAGTGTTTTGGCAGCATTACACCAGCTGAAGGGTGCTGTGCTATTTTTCTTTCCCTTTCTGACTTCCAGAGGAGTACTATTTTATTAATGCTTTTATCTATCCATAGAAATCGAAAGGGGAGAAATGTGACAGGATTTAGTGACTACATTCTAATATTTGCACAAGTGGCGTAGTCAAAGTTAAAGCAAAAAACCCCCAAACCTCTCAGATGCATCAGATAGTGTTCTTAAAATGTCACCTTGGGAGTTCTTCACTTTCACCTCCATGAATTGTTTTACTGCTAAAAGGATTATTTGGCTTCCTGACCTTGGTTTTTCCTTTGGGTACATAATAAATTCCAGAAGCTCGTAGAAGAAAATAACGCCTCTTCCAGGACTTTTTTCCATCTTCTTTTAAATAAAGGGCTCCTTCAAGCTCTGGCACAATGACAGATGCCCCACAGAAGCTTTCCTGTGCAACAAGAATAATAATAATACACAATATAAATTGATTTAAGCACAACCCTATTAATAAACAGCAGAAAATGCTCCCTTGAAAAATAAAGACATTTCCTGTGACAGCGAACATATGAACATGGAGAATGCATTTACCAGGGAGATGAACACCTTAGACAGGCACAGGAAACTTTTCCAAGCTAATGTGGTAAGATGGCCATGCAAGTTGGGTGTTCATACTGGTAAAGAAGGCTCGCAAAACCTCCACTCTCAAAAGGGTCAAGCAAAAACCTATGAAAGGTCTTAACTAGACACATATGTTCTCAGTAGAAAGTCATAAAATAGAATGATTGGTATTGCTGCTGGTGGGTTTTCTCTATCGCTGCATCTCTAGGTTCTGTAGAGAAATACTTCTGCAGAGAGAATCTTTAGAGATCGTGTAGAGCTCTAAAAACAGCTAAAGAAAAAAAATCACTTGCTTTCATTTTTAAATACATGCTAGCATTTACAACACTGTTTAAACAAATACACTTCATTGTTTGTTTGAAGGACCTACTGTTGAGTAATTTTTAATGCCAACACACTTATCACTGATGTTTTCATTTAGAATTTACCAGGACTTCTGTTGGTTGACATCTGGTGCCTTCATGAGATGCACTAATTTTGAAATGGGAATCCTCAGTCACCTGAGAACAGCATTTCCTTCCTTTGTGAACTTCTACCGAAGCCAAAATGCTTGCCAAGAGAACTGTGATTAACTTTTCTTTCATATAACTCTGGATTTTTCTCTCTCAAACACACAACTGAAGTAAAACTCCAGCAGGAAAGGCGAGAGGCTAAACAGACTTTCTGAAAAAGTGCAAAGGTTCTTTTTCTGTTGTAGTAGAGCTAATAATTTGAGGTAGCGAGAAGTACATCTGCTTCTAACCCAAAGATAATTGTTTGCTACTCATCAACCTTACTATCAATATAAAGTCATAAATGCTGGCTTAAGGGTGTGGCACTGCTGTTTCTTTATTCACATCTGTGTAACTGCTTTTATTATTATCATAGCATTACTTTTCATAGAAGCACTAAGTAAAAACATTTCATGGCGCTGGGGTCTGTAACAACAAAATGATTCTCTATTTTTTAATTTTGCTGATAGGGGACATAATCTTCATTTTTAACGGTGAGTGGCAGATGCAGAGGAAAATCCACGTATTAAACCTTAGACACAAAGACACTAACCATCACAGAACTTCCTCTTGTTACACATTTACCCAAACAACTAAACACTGCAGAGCAGATGCAGATGGTGGCAGAGTTTTGGTGACATTTCTATCATCAGCTTAGAAAGTTGGCTTACCTCCAGTAAAGCCTCTTTGTTTTTATCATTCATTTCTTTGCTTTCATTCTTCCCTTTGTTTGCCAGGTAGAAATTCTGATTAAAACACAAAAGAAATTAGTGTTTATTATAAAGATGGCAATACAAGTAACCAGATCACTACAAACCCATCCAATAGTTACTCAGTCTTTCAATACTGAGTACCCAAGCCAGCAGATGCAAGAGGCAGATGGTTATGGTCTCTTCTTATGGAAAACTTTGATCACAGCTGCCTGCTTATAGGTTTTATACTAAAAATAACTCAAAAAATAATGCAAAATTAATTTTGCCTATGTATTAACAGCCTCCCAAAATTTTAAAAACACTTGTTTATAGTTTTGGCTGTTTTACTGGACTACTGCATTTGATTTTATCATTCCAATTTTCACTGCTTCCTATGTTATTACAGGTGATAAGGAACATAACATTTTATTGTATACTGACAGGCAATGAATACAATGCAGTATCAAAATGCTAGAAAGCATTTTTCCTAATAACCAAGTTTGGTAATTTGCACCTTCATATCTGGCACTCTGGATATAACTCAGCTCTTAATTTTAAATAAAAGTGCTTATATGCCACAGCCTTTATCCAAAGTTATTTCTACTTTTAAACCCCTGCTCATGCTCTGCAAAGTATTTTTATGCAGTGAAGAAGGTATTCAAAAACCTAGAAGAAATCAGAAGAAATGATCACCATGATATCTTAGCACATGTGCTCCAGCCTACTGAAACAAAAGCCTACGCTTTAAAATGACCCTCCACTTCTGTGACAAGTGGGTCATGAAGCTGCAGCTGCCCTCAGAGGACCCAGTGCCTGTGCGCCCCTGCAAAAAAGGAAGCACATTGTCTCATGCACACAGTTATTAGTAAAATAAATTCACCCACTGTTAAACAGAAAAACCAATTTTGCATCCATCTGCATTGTACAGATGGACACAAGGAGAACACCTGGACATATGTGCAAATTCAGACAGTGGGAAGGTAGCTCAGCAGCATTCTAGGACTTGTGTGCTGGAGCATGTGCAGTGGTTTTGCTCAACAGCAAGCATGGCCAGATAGCAGAGCCCAGCTGCCTGCAGACAGTAAGGCAGCTGGGCATGAAGCAAGGAAGTAGATCAAGGAGCTATGCCATGCATCAAGTAGCATTGGATCCATGGGCTTGAGGCCCGAATGATAACACTCAAAGTTCTCCTGTTTTATCGTTTTCTAAACAAAAGTATATGCAGAACAGAAGCTTGGGTTTGGAAAATACCTTATACATGGGACAGTCTTACTGATTTCCCTGGAATCAAACAGCTAAGTTTGCAGAACAAAGGGCATAAAACAAACAAACACTATTGTCTTGGAAATAGACAAAATAATGAAAAACCCCACAAATTCTGAAAGCTACGCACTTAATTACTACTAATTCTGTAATTCTTCAGCAATTCTATAGGAAGAAAATTGAAAGTTTATCTAACTTTTCATCTTATTTCATGTCTCAAGACTGTGAGAATGTGGCAACAATACTTACATGCCTAGAACTCCACAACTAAACTGCAACACAAATGCAAACATTACCAGAAGACAAATAAGTGTGTAAATGAAGGAACATGCTGTTGCCACAGCATAAGAAACAAACAAGAGGCAAATCTGCCCTGCCATCATACCATGTCTTCAGCAATGAGGTTTATCTAAAGTGAAACCCTGTTCTTTCACACAACCACAGCTTCTTTTTCAAGCAGTGCTGTGAACAGCTGTCTGCCAGAATGCAAGCCTCAAAGCAGATGGTTTTTGGAGGGGCACCAACAGAGGAAAGGGAAGAGGTGTGGATAGTCTCAAAAACCTTTAAAAACTGTTTTCTTAAAAGTTCACATTAAGTCAGACAGCGGACATCAGAAACACACCTGCAATTTGGCCTATGCTGATGCCATGTCTGTGGTACGAACATAAGAAGAGAAACTTGAACATTCAATACAATAGACAGCTGTGCTAGGAAATATAGCAATGTTCTTCTCTAGGACATGCAGCAGCACATAGCTGGCTCCAGACGGCCTGGGCACATTTTCAGTCCATGGATTAAGGTAAGCAAACACTAAGGACCACAGCTTTGTGACTACATCTGAAGACAGTATTCACAGTGGAAAAATATCCAAACCAGCTCAAAACGAAACCTCCTTAAAAGTGTGTTCTCAGTACAACACATACAGCAATGCCTGCCTATGCAGTCCAAAACTACAGGTTTGACTGAGTGACAATGCTCCACTCAGCCCACTGGAAAAAAAAGATACTGTTCTGAGCAGCTGCAGCCAAGTCCTCTCTACATGTGCAACAGCTTTTCTTGACAGGGAGCACTATCACAGCACTGCTGGCTTGATGCTGGCACACCCACTTTTGCATTGATGAAGGTATGAAGAGAAACCTGAGAGGCACTGTTAGGCTGGGCTGGGCATCCAGACTTTGGGATGGATTTGGAAAGCAGAGGGACATGGCAAGCTGTAATCTACCTTTTTCTATAGGTCATTATAAAGGCATAGTACAACCCCTAAAATACACAACGAAGATTTATCAAGGTAGGTACATCTTATCATTGTCTCAACAAGGCTTGGCTCATCAGCTTTACTGCCGGTGGGGAAAGCATTCATCTGGCTCAGTCAGCCTTCAGTGCACTGATAATAAGAAAACAAAGCTCCCCTGATTACAACTGATTCACGTTCAGGCATCTGACATTTATTTAGCAGAAACACAGACCACCCTGTACTGACATAATCAATGAGAGAAAAAGAGAGAAAGTTTGCAATGATCTCCATGCTGGATCTCTAACAACGCAGCTTTTTCATTAGGGAAACAGGGCTATGTCACCTAAACCAACATTACACAGATGTACACTGTCATCTTTCACCTGTCAACACACATTTCATTTATTGCTGATTACCTCCTTTATCTCTCTGCCCTGAAATCTGGAAGTATATGGTACTTATTATTTGTCAGTGGCTAAAAACCTGGGTAGCAGACTGTACACTCTACTTATCACTGTGTGGTCTCCTATTTTTGATCAGAAGCATTCATCCTATAGCAGGCAAACCACATGTGTCCACAAGAGGTCATTCCAAGTCCAGTAGTCAAAGGTCACGATAAAAGGCAAGCTCTTTCCCATCTGAGGACACCACTGAGAAACGTATGTTCGGTTTGGGATGTCAGGTCATTAACGGGACAAGATGTAGCTACAGGGAAGGTCTCTGCTTATGTCTACAGATCTAAGAACTAGCTATTTTTTAGATTCAAAAGACAATGTCTTTCTCCTGATAGAGATCTGAGCTTACTTAACAGGATGGATTCATCCTCTTTGGCTGATAAGAAAGCAAACATAAAGCGTTATTTTAACAAACCAAACAAAGTATGCTAGTACACTTTGTCACTGGATTTGCTTTGTTTGCTCTGTTTGGGTTGTTTGCTGCTGAGATGACCAGCAGAGCGTTTTTGCTGAATTATTCCCTGTGCTTACATACCCCAGACCAGCTGAAGCTGACACAAAGCCAGTTGCTCTCCCTTGACGTTCTGCCTGACTCAGACTAATGCAGAGCTACAGTGGCAGTTTTTAGAGGTACTGCTAGCCAGGTATGACATCCTTAAGAGACATTACATCAGCATTTCCCTCTGTGCTTATACAGGACAGAGTTGAAACTAGTTGATGACCCATCTATGGCTTTACATCAGCAGGAAATTTCATCTGCAAAAAAGGAAATCCTGTAAAGATTTTATAGCCAGCTTGTTAATTTTGTGCCTTGTACTGTAAAGTACCACTAGTCATACAACCCTTTCCACTTAGGGATACAGCCATCTCCTTTTGCGCATAAAGGTAGGTAAACAAATTCAGGCTTTATCTCTCTCCACTGTACAAACCTCAAACAGTGGAAGACAGAAACTCTTTTCAATAGTTTCAAAGAACATCTCTGGTGGCATGTAAGCAAACAAAAGGAGCATGGTAGAAACAGTAGCCTTAACTACTACACCGCTAAACTCTCTGATCAGCGTTTCTTGTCTCTATACTTGTAAAAAATAATTTCCTAAGTGAAACGGCACCTCTCTCATACCTTTTGTCTCCTTTCATACACAGCCCCATCCAAGCTGGAATCCAGCAGCTACTTGACAGCAAAAAATAGGTGTTCAAGGTAGCATCCCCCCTCTGATTCCCCTTCTGCTTAGGTTGTATTTTTTCTTTCAACCTATTGAAACTTTCTGCAGAAGATCTGCAAGGTCCGCAACAGCACAGATCAGACAGCGTGCAGTGAACAACGCAGCTGCTCCGTACTCATCACCATCTTCTTTGTGCAATAAGCTCCCTGTTCACACTCATCCAAACCGCACCTGAAACTGGCCATTTCTGCCCAACTGCAACTGCATACTGAATGCAGTACAATTTGTGCAGAAAAAATAAAATGGAACATGGTCATATCTGCAACCTGCATTGTAATGTGTCCCCTAAAAAAAAATGCACATTAAAAATATTAGAAGATGCCTGTAATTGCTCTGAAGATCACAAATCAATAAAGCTAAATGAAACTAAAGACAAAGCTCTTTTGAAGCCCCCAAAAACTGATTTTCAACCCTGTTTATTTGATTTTTATGTTTGAAGACATCACTAGAGCTGACTTTTCATGCCTTGAGGATGATTGTCTTCATCCTCAAAGAGGGGGAGCATGGAAAAAATGAAAGATGTACAAAAACTAGGATGCAGCACTTAATAGGCTCATTAAGTCACCTGCAAAATGGTTCAAATGTGTAAAGACTGTTTCAGTGTTACAGTCCCAAGGAAAAAAAAAAAAAAAAAAATTAAGTAGCATCTTCACCTTGAAACTAACCATAGTCCAAAATACACTAATAGAGAAATTAAGATTACTAAAACACTGGGAGTACAGTGAAAAACATTTCCCCTTTCTCACTTCTATTTCTTTGTGCATTTACCAGCCCACTCACTAATCAGGCTCCCTGCCACCCTTCTCTGTTTCCTACACTAGGTAACTGGAGGCAAAAGAAAAACCTTGATTCATAAAGGTGGCCAGAGTGGTGAAAACCAGAAGTATCATCTGGTGAATACTAGCCCAATTTCACGGACTTCAAAATAAACAGTCAAGCGTGAAACACTATAACTCTCCTGTTATGAAAGACATTGCAAATTCTTACTCCACCTTCTCACACTGTTTAGTACTCTTCAGGAGAAATAAAATGTCAATTCAGTGTATGGGTTCTCCATTGAAGGGTATAGCTCTTGCTTTTGGCTTACATAGGAGGGAGCAGAAGCACAAAGTACTCACTGTACAGATTTTCACTTTTGATAAATACTGTTCAAAAATAATAAAAACAAAAACAAATCCCCACATGCATATGGTGCCACCTGCACTGTTTGAATATATCATGTCTGCTTTTATTAACAAAAGGGAAACACAGGAAATCAAAATCCATGTAAGCAAAAATCAAACAAGTGTTCTAAGAATGTGACCAGCATTTACAGTCAAGAGTTTAGATTCAGCTGCCCCTGTTTAAATGAAGGAAAATTATTTCCTACATTTTTCTTAGAGTTTCTTTTAGCTGAGAATTATTCTTTGAGCTTTCAGAAAAGAATTGTTGAGACCTGACAACCTTTCCTTTAGAGTCAAGCAGCATCAGTCAACCACATGACAAAGCATCACCTTTCCTGTGTTATAAAGTTTTTCTTTATCTGCACATGTACCAATATGTATTTTTGTTTCACTCTGTAGTCATAGACTTGTGATGCTCCATCTCTGTAGATGAGTCACTGATTCCATTCATGGAACAGTCTTTTACTGTGAGTTCCCCGCACAGTAAATTATATCATGGTGAAGATAGGACAAAAGTGTGTCGGTCTTCATGAAGAGGGGGACACGTGAGGATTTTGCAGATGCTCTTTCTAAAAAGTATTCCAAATACTTTTAAAAAATTGTTTTCAGCAACAAAGCTGCAAAAAAATGTTAGAGAATACCACATAACAAATATTACAATCTTAAAAAAAAAGCCACTGGCATCAGATGAGCAGCATGTTGCTAGTACAGACATAGGGGATACATCATGCATTTCAAAACTTCAGTTCCTCCTTAGAAAATGAAACACATTTAATTAATTGTTGTTTAGTCTATACCAGGTATATAGCTAGTTCACAGAAAGAAACAATGAGACACAGAGGTCTTCTCCAGAGGTCAGTCTGTTTTAGCAATGAACCTGGACATCTTTATAGTAGGAATTTAAAAAGCATTTAACTGCATCAAACCTCTGTCATGAAAATTTTGTATCACTAATTTGTCTAAGCATAACTTGTAGGCACCTGGCCACCTTTGGAATCTGCCTCTTTTTATCAGAAAAGTATCTGCAAGTTACAAAACTGTGAGATCTCCACAGGCAACCTCTGACAGAATGAACACTAAATAAGATCAACAAAGAATCCAACTGCTGCTGCATTACCGCCACTGGCTGTGTCAAAAAAAGCATTCTGCAATTCCTGTACTCACAAAATGAGTTTATGAGGCAACCTCGACTGAGCTAGGAGGAGGAGGCTGAAGAAGCCGAAAATACACTATCAGAGCACTGGATTTTGGTTTCCCATTGGTTACACCATAATTTCCGTAAATAGTTAAGTCCGTTAATCACACACCCTGCCGCCACAAACTCAGCATTTCTGCTTGGTTTAACTTTTCAGGGACCCACTCCAGATCATGTATTTTTACCATGTTTCATTATCTAGTGTGAGGTCTGTCTGTGCAGTACTGGTTATTTTCTGACAAAACAACAAACTGCTGGTATGACTGTACTATTCTGCCTGTGTTTGAATTTACTAAGACTGACAGATGGTTAGACTTTATTACTGGCAAAATTTTTCAAAAGTGTGATAGCCCCAGTTGATCCAGTTTCCTTAGGCTGTTCATTTTAGAGCTTATCACGGAGGGGCTGAAGCTCAAGCACTGCAGACACATCCAGATCAAGCCCAGCATATCCTCAGATAGAAAGACAGACCTACACTCTTAATCTGGTTTTGGTTTAGGTCATGTTTATTTCTAAAGTTCATTGCAATCAAAATGCCCAGGATCTTCCTCAAAGAGGTGGGAGGTTCACAGCCTTGCCCTAAGTCACTTGCCCAAACAACACTACTAGTGTATGAACCAAACACACAATTGAACCTCTTCTACTAGCTATGTTTATGTGCATTAGAAAGTATGACCATCTTGAGCCATCATGTACGTTTTGCTTCCAAACTTGGCTTTGCTGTTTCATATTAAAAGTCAACATCAATCCACGTACTCTGCGGGAGAAGTTTTTTTTCCCCTGACTCTGGATACTTGTTATGTCAATGAAAAACTTCCTCTCTGCAGATTTTATTTGAAACACTGGCTCATTCTAAAAAAAACCTAACTTCCTAATAAGCAGCTTGGTGAGATTTGCTCTCAAATTATATATCTGACTCATTTTCAGCAACACAGAATTGTTCATTTTTCTCTTGCTGCCCTCAGGAATGAAGCAGATGCTCAGTGAGCTAACAGACTGCTGACAAAGGGAAAAGATCTAGTGCCCCAGAATGCACCAACTGCACGTGCTAGGTAGTTTGTAAATACGGTTTTGATGACATATCACAAGAAATAAGTGATTTATGTATACACCTACCCTGAATAACTTGACATGATTCAGCATGCAGACCCTCTTTTTACAAAGTTAGTGTGCACAAGTTACTGTTCACCCAATTCTCTCTAGTCTAAATGAAATCCAGATAAACTCTCTGTAGTACTTGGTGTACTTTTCACTCAGCAAATTTTCATGTACAGCTGGCAAAAACTGGACCTTCCAGAAAATGTCGATGCCATCTCACCCCAGTTCCGAGAACTATGCTGAAGCAACAGCTGGTACCAGTGGAGAACTACATGCTTCATTTTTTACTACTGAAGACGAGACTAAGAGAAAAGAATAGAAAGCACTAATTTTCAAATTCTTTCACTCAATATTCTGGAGGTTTTTGCTGAAAGTACAAGTTTTGCTTTCTCTAATTCTGAACTGACAAAGCTGAAAGCAAATTAATAACACAATAGGCAGCATATGGACTATATGATACAATTTTAGACTCTTAATCAAACACCATGTTAGCTTACCTGGGGATTTTTAAATAAAGCATATTTTTCACTTTTTTCCAAAAACAGAATCTTATTCTCAGTGTCTCGAGTCCAGTCTGATAACACTTCAACAACATTTTCATGGTCTTCAAAAAACCTTTCTGGAGAGACAGAAAAGGTAATATAAGACACTCCAACTCTCTCTCCCCTCTCCTGAGGCTGCAGAAATTCCTGTGTAAGAATGTAATCACTATCGATGTTCGCTCAGAGCTGGACAGTCCAGCACTCTTTCTACCGCACAGAAGGGAGCAAACCCACACGAAAATAGTGCCAAGTGGAAGGGCAAATTACCTACAGAAGACGTCTTATGTAGCTCTGGCATGCTCCTGGATTCCTTCTGCATCTCTGTGCTGTTGCTCAAAGACAGCAAAGGTGTCCCACTAGGAGTAGATGGTTGCACCTATGTCTGTCAATGGCTTTCTGCTTTCTATTTGCCTTTGTTTCTTAAGGTTTGCAGTATGATTGGGGGGGAAAATATATAATCACTTTGGCTACTGAATTAAAAAAAAAATAATAAAAACTTATGTCCTTGTCTTTTTACTTATGGTAACAAATGAAAAATTACTTTTTGTCAGCAGGAAGAACTCTATGCACTGAAAATAAAATGTTTTGTTTCAAGCAACTGTATTTAAAAACAGAAAAAGCAGAACAGAGGAAATAGGAACACAGACAGAGAACTGATGTGAAGATATACTGTTTCACCCAGCATCTCTGTAGTTAAAAAACTCACCAGAGATGTGGGAGACCTAGTGTCAGTTCTCTCCCTAAGCTGATGTGAACCCAGATCCTCCACCCAGGAAAGCCACAGGGTATGCTGAGGTTAGGCAACTCCAATCTCTTCTTCTGTGGTTTCACTTGTACAAAGTAGCTGAACAGTCACATAAACCCCCTTTGGAAGGAAAAGGTATTGAGCATAATTTGACAGATAATTTGGAAACGGCCCAAACTGCCTTTTTATACAAATTCAGTATCGGGGCAGCAAATTGACCCAGTTCCAATTTTCAGTATGATTTTGGCAGTTCCCTGGAAAACAGCTGTACCCCCATTTCAGTGGTCTGTGGTGACTACATCTTTAAATGGCCTAGACTGGTCTTGTATAAGAGGAGATAACAGAGCATATGTTTTGTAGGCTTTCTTTTACCACTTCTTGTTACTTTTGACAAGGGTTCAGCATGTCCCATCAAAACTAAACTTTGAGAATAATTAAATTCACTAAATGAGATTAGCTTCAGGGTCAGTTCACATGTACACACTAACTTTTAACAACACAAGCACTGGAAATATAAAGCACTATAAAACTCAAGCAACAGTTTGAAGGTTAAACAGTATCTTATCGTCCAGGATAGCCCTAAAATAATTCTCAGGTTATAACATTAGTTATTTAACATTAATTTTTGCCACATATACTTTTGTTTGTTGATTTCCAGTGCCAGGGGGTTTTTGTGTAAAAGGTATGATTTTAGCATCCTCAGGAGGGTCTTTTTTATAACTACTGCTACAAAAAAAAAATAGTCAAATCTGGATGCCTATTATAAGGCAACACTCTATTACAAAATACATGTTGGGATGTACAGCCCAGTGTTATATCACTGCTGAGATTATATGTGGTATTTAACATGCAATTAATTTAAAACTGTAGTTTAGTTCATTTGCAATGGTCATCTTTCAAAATAACAGTAATTACAAGATACTCTGCCATGGATCTTCTGATACAAAACTAGCTTGGACTTTCAGTTTGGCCTGAAATACTTGCTGCTCAGATTTGCTTCTTAAAGTAAATGTAATTTTATTGTCTTGAATACTAACATGGAAAGCAGGCAGAAAGGGAAAGCGCAGCAAAGCCTGTCTTCTAAGCATGATAATAATAATAGAGCTATCTAGAACTGCCAAGAAGTATACTGACAAGAATAAAGAATAGTTCCCATTGTTTTGATTTTTAACAAAATTAACTGCACTGGAAGCAGAAGAAAGAATATGTACCATTCCATCCATATCAAAATTCCCTTCTGCAAACAAAAAGGCTCTATTCCCAGCTGATTTGGACCTGGTAATATACCTGCATCAGGAGTTCACAGACTTTTCCTTTTTTCCTGAACCAACTACTGATTTATTTCTTTTCCTACTCTTCTGTCCTGGCTTTTAAAATAGTTTATGAGTGTTACTATACCAGTACAATAACCCAAAGCACCTAGTATTAGCTGGGACTAAAGTAACACAACTAATTTTTACTTACCAAAAAAAAAAATAAAAATTCTAACCATTGACCCCAATATTTTTAGCATATGATCTCCCTGATGCCTTAAGTTTAGATTGTGTGATGGGGAATTCAAAATGTCTATCCAGATTATGAAGAAACAGAAGTACATTCTTTTTAATAATTATGGAGATTCAAAAAACCATCTGTTTATATGCTGCCTCCTAACCCTCAGAAATGATTGCCCAAGTCACACTAGACTAGAGGGAGCAACTTTCCAAGACAAGAAAACACTCTAAAATTATTCAGTGACATCTGTGACATTGCTAGGGTCTAATGAAATTTCCAGCCTTTTCTTAGTTAGGATAAAGAGGTACAAAAGAACGCAGCAACGTTGCTTCATGTATCATCTTAATGGAGTAGAAAGAACAGATAAGCAGTTAATGTCTCTACCATTCTTAGAAGCAGATGAGAACCTCCTTGCTCTTGAGCAATCAGGCTTTTTCAGTTATTTTTATATTTCCTTGTTTTAGTTTAGCAGGATGATTATTCCTGGGGCTCTGTTAAAGTGCAGTACTGAAATTTAACTTTCTTTGGACATTTTTACATCTCTGCTGGAAGTCTGTAAACTGAGAATGCTAAACAGTTTTTGACAATTTCTCTTTTCTCTAGGTCAAATGTGACCCTGGAAGAAAGTCATGTCAATTTTCTTTTTCCTTTTGATGTGAATACCTTTGCATCCTGAACGACAAAAAGATGCTGAAATAACTCACAATTAGAGAATACTCCATTCTTAATCAGGCCTTGAAGCCTTTATGAACCAAAACTCATTAAGTTGCACCAAACAATAAGTTTTGCACAGCTGTTTCCTAGGGACCTAGAGGCCAGGTTAGTTACTTCCTAAATCATAAGGTACCACCAGCAGAGCTGCAGCCCCATCAGAGAGCAGTATCCTGTTCACAACTATGCTTAAGAAAACAACTATCACAAGTGATAAGCGTTAGAAATTACTGAAATGTTTCTCAGACAGTCTGGTTTAATTATAAAATTTGTTTGGCCAGCATGTAACTGCCTGCTGACAGCAGTTCAGCACTGCATCCTCCCTTGAAAGAGCAGAGTTGAGTACTGGTGCATTTGGGTCTGTTGCTGCCTTAACAAACATAGTGGAAGTCACATGGTCCCTTCATTTTCTGTAAAACAGAATAATGGAAATGGAGGTAGGCAAGGAGCCTTTTGACATTCACAGCACAGACGGCTCAAGTACACTCCTGCAGCATCTCTCAGCTTAGAGACTACAATGTTTTAACAATAGTGGACACATGGGTAGGAGAGATGTTATTAATTATCTTTTCAAGATTATCAATAGCATAGGATGCACTGTATCTATTTGCTATAAGCTCTGTCACTATGCCACTTACCAATTTGCAGCTCTGGGTATATTTCATACAGACACCAGTCGATGTTGCAGTCACAATGGGTTTTCTCAAAGAGATTGTCTAAAACATCCCGTGTCACCTGACGCTCATCCACCATTAGTGACTTTGTGCTGTTATCGTACATGTGCACCTTGACAACAAGCTGAGTAGAGAGTCACAGAAGAGTCAGTTAATTTCAGAAGCAAGTAAAAGGCTAGTCTGAATCTGCTAACACTGATAAGAAAGATTAAGGCTGAAGGTTATTATTGATTCAAAGGCACCTCGTCCCACAGTCAGCTGAAGGAATAAAACAGCTTGGAAGCTTTCACATTATATTGCCACCAAAATATAGACCTTTTCTCAAAAAAGGACATTGAACCTTATCCTGTGCATGACTTCAGGAAAGGTGAAATTACTATGGAGAAATTAATCTCTTAGTTAATCTCTTCTCTAAATCTACTAGATGTGCAATTACGGAAAAAGTCTGATAGGGACAAAGTGTCCTTACGGCAAGCTAGAAATGCAGAAAGTTCAGGAAAAAGAATGGAAGAATCTTGTCACACGAGCAGACTAACCTGATATCGGATTGCACGAAGGTGGGCAGTAGTCCAACACTCATCACTAAGCAAAGACATGAGTTACTTATATTGACCAAATTAACCTAAGACACTTGTTATTTATTCACATTGTGAAGTATTTGTTAAACAGAAACAGCGTGCATTTTTTTCCAGAGAGGAGCAATGCAAGAAAACGCTGTGTGATAAAGAACTGCAAATATGTTATCAGGAAAGAACTTAAAATGCTCCATTAGTACAGAAAACAGAAGAAATACCATCTACAGGATCTGTATGTGGAAACTAGAATTAAACTGGTGAGTTGGGAAGACTTCTCCATATAGCCCTGTTTAAATAGCTCCTTATTTTAAAACGTGTGCATAAGCAGTTTTAGTACTATAGAGACAATCTCTGTTAAAGATTGGGTAGAAGCAGAGAGTGATGATCCCCAGGAGAAAATCTAGACTATCTCTGAAAAGTAAAAGAAAATGTAAGAAAAAACATGAACTTGCTTTAATTCTAATCATTGTATCTTCCTCTCTAAAATAAGCAACTGAGCCATAGTGTAGATTCTAGAGAAAAAGAAATGTTGTACATGTATAACCTATATGTCTAGTGAAAAAAGGATATTTTTGTCTGGTTATAGCCAACTGCTCAGAAACATGCATGCAGCTGCCATCTTCACAGAATCACAGAATGGTTGAGATGGAAAGGCACCTCTGGAGGTCATCTGGTCTGATCCACTGCTCAATTAGGGCCACTTAGAGCCCACTGTCCAGGACCCTGTCCAGATGGCTTCTGAGTATCTCCAACGAGGGAGACTCCACAACCTCACTGGGCAACCTGTGCCAGTGCTCAGCCACACTCATGGTGAAAAAGTGTTTCCTGATGTTCAGACAGAATCTCCTGTGTTTCATTTTGTGCCCACTGCCTCTGGTCCTGTCACTGGGAACCACTAAAAAGAGGCTGGCTCCATCCTTTTTGTACCCTCCCTTCAGGTATTCACCTAGATTGACAAGATCCTCCCAGAGCCTTCTCTTCTCTAGACTACGCAGTCCCAGCTGTCTCAGCCTTTCCTCACAGGAGAGATGCTCCAGTTCCTGAACAGTCTATGTGGCCCTTCATTCATAGGGATGGAATTATCCTGAGCTTGGAGGAGGTGATCTTTGAATATTAACGAGTTTTCTTGGGCCCCTCTTCCCTCCAGGGCTTTATCCATGGGACTCTTCTAAACAGATCTTTGAAGAAGCCAAAGTCTGCTCTCCTGAAGTCCAGGGCTGTGATCCTGCTTTACACCATCCTCCCTGGTTTCTGTCCTCCGCTTTCAGTAAAAGAGAGAAGATCATATTTCTTGACAATTATTTAGTCAATTCAGAATTCAAGAATGACATAGTAATTTTAATATAGTGACAAAGCCACAAGAAGTCTAAGCCTTACTTCTACCCTATGGTTCCAAATCTTCAGGTTGAAAAAAAACAGAAATGGGGAAAAAGAGGGTCTTCAAAATAAATGTTTCCTCTCAAAGGAGGACTGCTAACATTGTAACACTTCAAGGAAAAGAGGGTGACCAATGAGCAGTCATAAGTTTGGTTACAGAGATTTCCAAAGACAACATTGGTGAAATCCTCCAAACACATTCTCTCAGAGGTAACATTTGTACATGAATGTAAAGTGTATGGGAACCATCTCAAGTCTGGACACCCCTGAATTTACTGGAAGCTTCAATTCCTCTTGGAAGCCCTGCAGATTCTGACCTTCAGCACTTCCCATCTCCTGTTTGAGCAAGGCTGAAAGGTCACGATTGTTTTTACTTCACACCATTTTTCAAAGTTACTGAACATCTGCAGCTTCTGCTGAGTTCAGCTGGAACACTAGCATAGGATGAGTAGGCATAATTACATGACACACTGCAGCACTGTGCAGACACTGGCTGGAAGCTTTCTAATTAGTTAATCTAAAATAATTTCTATTATCTTTGTACATTACTACACTGCTGTGAAAAGATTTAGCAAGACGACCCTCATTAATTTAATTTGGATTAGCTTAATCTACATCCACTGTAGAAGTTTAATACTTTTGGAATCAGCACAGCATAAGTAAGCAATGTGTTTTATGTACGTTCCACTTTCTCTAAAGCAACCTATCAGAACAGTGGGCTTTGGCCCGGCACTGGGAAAAAAAAAAAAAGGGAGAGCCTTCAAAGTCCTCTTAAAAATAAGTCACTCAGAGGTAGCATTCTCCCAGAGACTTCTCAGATGACAAGACAGCTCTACAGAGATCTTCAGACGTCTCAAGTTACAGACAAACTATGAAAAAGCCTGGTGATTTTAGTAAGAACTTTATTATTAAGAAGAATGATAATAGATACTTACCTGGTAGCTCTTATGGTACCATTTCACTCTTTTAAGCCTCACCTTTTTAACTTTGGCTTCCTTCAGTTTCTCCAATGCAAGTTTAATCTTTTCAGCTTTAGCCTGTGCCTCTCGATCTTCCTGAAAAGATACAAGATACTTCATACACTTGTTAAGTAAGGCCAGTAATGTGTATTTACTTGTAAAGAGTTTCTGTTATTTATATATAGAACATAAGGCTTGTCATGGGAAACTTCATAGTTACAGGGAATCCCCAGCTTTCCTTGAGCTAATTTCCTCCAGTCAAAGCTTTGATTTACAAGTCCAGTGCTTCCTTTTGTTGCATGGTCATACAGCTCTTATATGATCTGTTCCTCAAATGCTACAGGAATGTCTGAAAACTGGACTCTCCTGTGTTTCCATATGGGTTACAGCTGATACAAAAGAGAAGATGAAGGAAGGTCTAACCAGAGTGAAACAACACTGTGGATACAGCTGCTTGGAAGAAAACTCACCTCTCAATAGGGTTAGGAGAACTAGAGTTTTTAAGGATCTTACTGAAAAGATTGGCTTGCAATTATACCACTTAAAATTTTACACTTTCTGTTAAGTACATTAATTTACTTGAATTCTTTCACTTGCAACATATGAGCTCTTACTGCATGCATATTTACTGAGAGGAACACCTCCTTAAACTGGATGATATGGCTTTTCATTCTAGTAATGGACCTATTCATATTAATATAGGCACAGATAGAGCACACAAGTTCATTCCATCTTTTGCTGAAGGCCACAGTAAAGATTCCTAAAAATCTCAGTATCACCTAGCTCTTCTTTTACAAAGCAGCTCTATCAATATCATGCCTCTCTCTTGGTATCAGTGAAGTCTGTGATCCCAGAAGACTCTGGATCCCCAGCTGTTGAGAGTCTTCAGTGTCTACTGTTGTCTCTGTGAGTGGTGAACAGGGGGTGTGTGTGTGTGTGTCTGTGTGTCTGTGTAAAACTGTTAGTACTACTGGAGGGTTTGGTCTTTCCAACTTTAAATCCCTCCTCCCCCTGTTGAAAACTGTCTTGTCTTTCCTTTCTTGACTCTGCTGATTTTTACCCTGTTTCTCTCTCACACTTTTGCAGTTTCCTTTGTTTTAAAGGAGAAGGATTTTTGCGACGGTACTCACACGCACACCCAACTTCCAGTCAATGACTGTGGGAGAAAGTTCCTGTCCTGCTTCCACACAAGATTTTAATCTGTGTTACTTTCAGCCTCCATTATCTACCCTAAAGTTATAATTTCAGTGGTCTTTGGACTAAGACCAAAGACTAAAACACAGAACGGCTGTAACTCATGGGAGATGCACTTACAAGAAACTAGGCCTAACTATGTTTTGCTGATTAGGGATACCAACTAAACTCAGGTACCAGAGTGAAAAGAACAGGTGTATTTTACTCTGCCTTGGGCCTATTGTCCAAGCCTTAACACTTCACCAAGCATTGTCACTACTTCCTTCTTACAGAGGTATCATAGAATCATAGCAAAAAAAGAGCTAAGAAAGTTATCTTACTCATCCCAAGCTTTGAGGCAGGTTCAACCATAACTGAAGTACTCCTGACTGACATCCCTCTTGCTGAACTAACCACCTTCTGTTTTATCACAGCTTTCCATGGATACTAGCATCCTTTAGGATGTTAAAAATACAAGATGAGGCATTCAACCTGAAAGAAATTATTTCAAGCATGTTTGCTGTTGCCAAATTCTCCACTATAAATACCAGACATTCAGTTAAAAAATGTCCTTTTTTTTTTCTCCACAGGTATCAAAATTTGCATTACTACAGATCAGAGGTAGCTTTAACTTTGGGAATCCAAAAATAGTTTCTGTAGTTCAGCAGAAGCTGGACAAAAGTAACTTTCACAGTAAGGCTGACTGTTCTACAGAGGAAGAGCTCACAGCCTCTCACACTACGTCTCTCCCCATACCATCTCAAAACACCTCTCTGCAGGAAGCAGGAAAAGCATCTTAACTGAAGTGGTTGAGTGTGGCGTGGGCAGGCTTTCTGCTGAAAATTTTAAGTAGTATAACTCAGGCTTCACCTGCATGTGACCTGTGTTGAACAGAGTTCACAGGTTGTACAGATCTGTGCAACTGAGCTCTCACCTGACAGCCTTCATGTTTTCATAACCTTTGTCTGTCTTAATGTAGAAAAGGAAATGATACAAAGTAAATAAGCTATCATATGCAAAATTTTAGCACTGTTAATGAAATGCTTTGACAGGCTAAAAGATTTGTTTTTCCCACTACAGTATCATTATCACATTTTCTGGATCTTCAAACAGAAGCACATAAAAATCATCTAGATAATATAATAAAAAAATGTAGAAGCATTATTTAGTTTAAAAACAGTTTTAAAAAGAAGCATCAGAGTTGACGGAAACTTATGAGACTTTCTCTGAAAGAAAGGCTGTACTACTTAATTTTGGCACACTTAAAGGTTAGAGAATAGTCTTAGAGGTGCATTCTTATTTGACTACAGACAACCAGAAGTGTTAAACAAAACATCAGTGTTGACTGGCTCAACAATCACTTATCAAAGAATCCTGGCTAACAGGAACATGGATTTTGATGAAACAAAATACATTCCAATTCCAGCTGCATTTCATTCCACTGAGCAAAACATCACATCAAAGCAAATACTAACCAAGACAGTAAATACTAATTTGAAATCAGTTCTTTCCACAGTAATTTTAAATAGTTATTACCTCCATCAATCACACCACAACTTGTGTAATAGCCCTACAACCAATTTTGTGGACGGTAAGCCACACAATGGGTATGGCAGCACTGTCTGAATACAACCTGTATCAGAAAATGAGGCAAAGGCTGCCAGAGAAAGCAGAACCAGTGCCTTAATAAGGAAATAGACTACTGCAGACAGATTCCTTCGAAACACCTCTACCTCCTGTTCCCATCCTACTGTGCCCTGTCCCTGTATCTGGTAAGAGACCAGAAAACACTGCCAGAGATTTAACTCAGCACACAATCTCAGAGGAACACTTTAATTGAGGGAGACAGAAGTGACTTCCAGCTAAGTTTTTGCATATAGAATTCCAGTTGTGTTTAGCAAGTATATTCACTTTTCATTCTGAAATCTCCTTTGACCCTCAGGTTAATGCAGGACGCCAGCTAATAAGAGAATTAGCTCAGTACAACACTCAAGGGAAAAAACTGTGCAGCACTGTTGATTTCAGCGAGCTTTAGATCACAGCATCATAAAAATGCTGGTTGGAAGAGAGGTCTGTAGTCTGGCTCCCTGCCCAAAGCAGGATTATCACCAACATTAGATCCCTGCCCAAAGCAGGGCTATCACCAACATCAGATTCAGTCAGCTATGATTTTGCCTAGCAAAGTTTGGAAAACCTCCAAAGAAAGACAATCTGATATCGGAGTCACCTGTTCCAGTGCTACACCACCGCCTGAAATGCAAAAGGTTTTCCTAATGTGTTGTCTGAAACTACAAAGCTACAACACATAGCCATTGCCCACTGTTACATGACCTAACACTACCATGAAAGAATTTGGCTCCACCAGCTTTGTAGCTACCCTTCAGGTATTTTTAGGCTGTCATTAGATCACTCCCCAGCCTCCTATGTCAGACTAAACAAGCCCAGCATCCTCAGCCTGTCCTTGCTGTCCCCTAATTACTCCCTGTCCCTGGCCATCCCAGCAGCTCTCTGCTGAACACTCTCCAGTATCTTCATATCCAGAATGGAGTGCAGTATTCCAGGTGCGGCCTCATCAGTGCCAAGAGAAAGGAATAATGGCTCTCTCAGGCTGCTGGCCATGCCCCTCCCAACACAGGCCAGTTTCCCATACTGAGATGACCTTGCATACATGGTTCTTATTTAATGTGGCATCCACCAGGATGCCATCTCCTTTTCAGTAGGGCTTCTGCTCAGCCTGTTGCTTCCCAAACTGTTCAAATGCAGGGGGTTATTCCACCCAGGCGCAGGACCTTGTACCTTGCTGGGTTTCTGAGGGTTTTGCTGGCCCAGTCCTCACATTTTTCAAGGTTGTCCTGCACTGAAGTTCTGCCATTCATCTTGTCAGCCAGAGCCCTTAATTAAAAGCATCTTCATCACATCTGCAGATGATTTTTTTTATGTCATCACTCAGGTCACAGATGAAGATGTTAAAGAATACAAGCCCTAGCACTGATCCCACTTGTTACCAGCCAGCAAACCATTGATTACTAGCCCTTGAGTCTGGCAGTCTGGTCAATCTCAGCCCACTTAACCGGCTACCCTTCCAGACGATACTTCCTCAGCTTCCAAACCAAACTATTTAGAAGCCTGGTACTTCCTTACAGGTCATGAGTCTAAATCAAGATGGGGACATGTTTGTAAGACGATGGATCAAACTTATCTTGGTAGCACCTCTTCTGTATTAATCATACTATTTAAATAAAAGACTTCAGCTTCTGAAGCTGTCTAGCTGTTGTTTTTGCAAATCTTTATATTCCTTCAAAATAGGAAGTTAACTATTATCTTTGAGATACAGAAAAATGGCAAAGTTCCTCCCACATGTTTACAACTTTCACTTTTCAAACAGCACTGAAAGGTCCTATGCACTAAATGAAGCTTTATCCAGTTCAATTAATTTTTGTATCATCAGAAAGGTCACCTTCCTACCAAATTTTCTGTTCCTTTTGCTAAATAAGTGTGCTTTATGATGCTAAACACAGGGGCAGCAGTGATGTTGAGGTGATTCATACTCAGTTTGTGTGGATTTTTACACTGCAATGAATTGCCCATGGTTTTAAGCAAAACTGACTGATACAGTTCTACATGGGCTTACAGAGCACTTTTCATGATCCCTAAAATCTTTCCATTCCCTAAATGTAAACAACTTCTCTCATAATAGTTACTATGTATATGAATACTGAAAGAGATACTTACAGATCTTTCAGGATTTCAGTTTCATGTTTTTATGACTGCATCACTCCTCTAATGCACATACTCTGCCCACAGGGCTGTGACAGAGCAGAATTCTTACATTATCTCCCTCTACACAACCTCATGTCAAAGAAATTAACTTCTAAGGCTTCTACTAGAAATACCACACTTGATACCAGTTGTTAAAACAACTCTGCAAGAAACACAAACATGTAGAAGGTTGTGGTAAGTCTGAAATTTTACTGTACAGGTAAGCCAATTGTTTATAAATATTACCTACTGATAGCTTTGGCACCTCCTAAGTAAAGAGCATTTGTCTCATATTGCAGATGATCTTTATTACTTCCCTTCAAAGACAAAACCAAGAAGAGCAGAGTGATTCCGTGCTGGAGGGGTACTTCTTGTGCTCAGCCTTGCACCCAGTCTCCTAGCAAATGTTGAGTTTTACACAACTGAACAGCTTTTCCTAATGCAAGAAATCAGTTAGGCCAGGGATGAGTCTGGGAAACATCAACAAGACTGTCTCATCTGTACCAATAGCACAGACTGCAATGAAAAAACATAGTGACATCTTCACAAAATGGTGGGATCCTTGGCCATGCTTTGCACTGATGACAAAGCCAAGTTCTTTATGAGATGTTATTAACTGATCAGTGCTTATTAAAAAAAAAAAAAATTCAAAAATTCAGTTACAAGTTTTCCATTTGCAATGATTAATGCCTGTCTTGGGCTATCAAAATGATGTTTAGAAAGGCAAAGGAATGGGCAATAGATCAAGGAACAGGCAGAAATTGCTGAACCCATAACAGAAAACTCTCACTCCACAGTTGATGCACGCTTCATCACTGCAGAACCTTCCCAAGATGTTTCTACCTGGGATATGCACTGTTGTTCCAATGCCAAATACAACTTGCAAAATTACAAAAACTACTGAATGCTCAGAACAAGGTTCCACCCAGTCTTACCTGGGTGAGTGGCTCAGGAGGAGGTGGTGGTGGTGGTGGCGGAAGATCTAAATAGGGGTCTGGAGGTGGAGGGGGCAAGTCATCCCCAAACAGTCCAGTAACAGCAACACAGAGACTTGATTTAGAATAAACGTCACTATCCAAGACTGTTGAAGGCTGAGTGACTGTATTTTGCTGGTTGCCAGAAGTAGTCTTCTGGGCTTGTAAAGTTCTCTGTTCAACATCATTTATGTCTGCTACAAGATCAGCCATTAAAGCATCCAGGTCTTTATCCTCTAGGGCACTTAGGGATTCTGTGAAGAAAGCCACAAAACGTGTCAGAGTGAGTGCAATGCTAAACACTATGCTTCCACTTTAGTGGAGATTAAATTGCAGAAGCCATGGTTACCGTAAGATATAAGGGTTATGGAAAAGGAAACAACATTTGTTTGTTGAACGCATTTAAAATGTGTTTTAGAAATAGCCATTAATCTGGTCATACTGAAGTTCAGAATACAAGGAACTCTATGAATACAAATTAAACAGGACAGTAAGATTCACTTTCAGTGATACAGTTGAGAGGTCTGAGGACCCTTGTAACGTTATGAAACACGGCCCTGATCCAGCAAGGTTTCTGGACACATGCTTGGTGATATGGATGCAAGAAATTTCATTAGCTCCTATTAGACTACTTACTTATCTTCAGTTAAGTACATACATAAATGCTTAGCAAGTTTTGGTATAGCACACAACAAATTGTGTAACTGAGGCCTGGATCAAGAATATCTTTATTACTAATATTTTACAACTCTAAAATCAATATGAAGCAGAATCAGAGAGTTTCAAGACACAAGAAATTGTGTGGTATCATTCGTAGCACATCAGTAATTGTGTGATCAACATGTGTGAAATGCCTCATGTAATATACAGGGGTTTGAGGATCTTTTAGGCAAAGAGCAAACAAGACAGTCTCTTTTCAAAAGCATCTTATCAACCAGTCAGAGTAGAAGATAAAATCCTACACTGGAACTTCATATGTAATTTCTTCTTTGGTTGTTTGAACTAGACATGGTATAAGATATTCTGTGGAATAACATCCTGCAGGATAATTTAGCTTTCTAGAAGAGAAGGGTTCTTTAAATACCAACAGATTTAGTGGTTTAAATCTCTTCAAAGAGTCGAGTTAAAAAAAAATAAATCAGAAATTAGGAAAGCTTTTAGTGGGACTTTGGAAAGGGATGGAGAGCTCTGAACTAGATAGTATCAAAAATACTATATCATTCATCAGACTGAGTGCAAACATGTCACTAGATCATGTCAGTTTAGTCTGCTTTACCTGTTATGCTAGTTGAGTATTCTCATAAGCTTTTCTTTACAGTGGGAAAGTTGGCTTATGTTCCTCTCTATTTATATACTTCTACCCACCTTACTGGTAGAGGCATTAGGTAGCTTAATAATGAACTGATTCTGGGACAAAAACACAGGTTAAAACCAGCTCAGACAAAGGCAAACAACCAGTCCCTAGTAAAAAGAAAAAAAACACAAACAAAACCCAAGAGAAGGGGTTTTTTTTTCAACTCAGATAAATTCCCTCATTTGGTTTGTCACACAGCCTCAGCAAGCAGCTCTTACATGCAAAAATGACAGTGAAAACCGGAATGAGAATAAGCAATGTAAAGTGGAAGCAGCTGAAGGCAATACTTCCACTGGACAAAAATGCTTATGCAGCTCTGACCTCACACTGAGGAACTTCCTATCAACTCAAATTTTTACATTAAAAAGGTTTCCTTTTAGAAAGTTATTTGGGGGACTTCTCATTTTTGTTTTCCTCTACACTCAGACATTTTTAAAAGTCTGACTACTGTATGAGACTGAGCAATGTCCCTTTAAAAAAAAAAAATTCACCCCTTTGACATCTCCTAAATTGAGACACACAAATACAATATTCTCTTCAGCAAAATAGGTGGGGTTTTTTTGTTTTGGTGTGGTTTTTTGGATCAAGGGTGTTTGAAGTTTTTCTTCTCATTTGTTGCCCATATAAACATAAAAGCATGAAAGAGTCCATTCAGCTACTTACCATTTAAATCTTTAAAACCAACTGTAAAGGTAAATTCATTGTTGGACACTTTGGGGGATGGAGGTTGTACAGTCTCCACTCCTAAACTCTGTTAAGATAGAAGAAGAAAACAGGTATCTGATGACACAATTACTATTACAGATATTAATATCTGTAAATCAATTACCTGAATTTGTCTAATGAAATCAACTCTTCTTCAGTGAACAGACTGACACATATTAGTTTCTGGGATTATGCCCAGACTGGTAAACTACATAGGGCCAGGACAATGGTCTCACAATCATGCAAAGTGTGTAATGGTTTGCATGCTTCTCAATACAATGTTGACCTACACCATCTGCAACTCTTGTCAGGCAACACCCAGGCTCACTGTGGGGAACAGCAGAAGCTAGGGCTGTTTCTAATAGAGACAGTGGATAAAGCCAGACATTTTTAATTTCTGGTGGGTTTCTGAAGGGGAGTGGGGTGAGAGTGTTGAAAAAGTTTAGCTGTGTACACCCTTGAGCTACACAGTGCTATTTGCTCCAGTGCTTTACTCACCAATATAAACGTAATATAGCTGTTGCTTCCTCATGCTGTTTGCAAAAAAACCCTCAAATACAACAAACAACAAAACATGCTGCTGTTTGCAACGTAAACTGAAAATCTGCACAGTTAAATAGAGAATTCATAGCTTGTGGCTCACTGTTTAGGAAGCAGGCAGATAATCAGTGCTTCACAAGTTAGGAAAAGTGAATACAGCGGAGATAGAAGAATATACATTCTCCCTTCCACAATGAGGAATGTGATAGCTCTAATAAGCAAACTCTGTAGATAAGACTGGAAGAAATTTCAAGGGTCTGTCTAGACCACGCACCTGTCCTAAGGAAGGTCAGTTATACCTGGGTCATACCTGAAAAATGTATACTTAACCTGATTTTAAAAGCTTCCTATTAGATAAATTACATCACTACCTCTGGCAATCTGTTCCTCTACTTCACTATTGAGATCACTATTCCTGCCATCAAACCTTTCTTGTGATGCTCATCCTAAACTTTCTTTAATGCAGCTGAAGACCATTCCCTGTTGTCCTACTCGCCATGGACATGAGAAACCAAGTACTTCTTTCTGCTCTGACACTGCCTTTGACATACTTTAAGATTGTTATCAGTCTCCTTTTCTTTAGACTAAACAACCTAATACAATATTTTCTTACAGATCATGTTTCTTTTCCTTCTCATAATTCCCACTGCCTTCCTCTAGATTTTCTCCAGTCAACCCTCCTTCTCCTCCAAATGCAGTGCTAACACTGGACAGTTTCCCTTTTGAGGTTTTACCAGTGCTGCACAGAACGGAAGGATTATTTCATATATCCTACGAGCTATACCCTTGTTCATACATCCATGTGAGATGTTTGTCTACTGGTGCTCATACTCAATTTGTACCAGAGGCATTTACATTTCTTAGAGCTACCTGAAACTGACAGACATTTTCCATGAAAATCAATGCAAATATTTTTCTTGGCAGTTCTTTTCACCTATTTCCCACCCAGGACATGTTGGTTTCTTCTGAAGTTATACAGAGCTAGAAACCAAAGCAGTAGTAACTTTAAATACTGTGTTAATACTCACTCTCATAAAAACAGACACAGTATAAATTGGCGAAGAGGGAAAAATGAAGTACATGAGATAGTTTTGCAGTGCTTGATTAAAAAAAAAAATAAAAGAGAGAAGAGGAAAAAGGAGCACACAAAATGTATTGATGAAACACTACGAATAAAGGAAATACAACTTATTTTAGATTAGTGATAAAAGTAATAACTCATAATGGCCATAAAAGTGCGGGGGGGG